TAATACTGTTCAAAAGTTAAAGAGGATCAGAACAAATAAGGTACCTTAAGGATGTTGTGCTTAAGGTACCTTATTTGTTCGATATCATTGATCCCTTTGACGACATAATAAATTCACAGAAGTTCTGCTTGAAAAACTGTGCATTCACTTCGTATATGGTGTTTAAATTAACAAACCTCGAAATGGACTTCAAAAAGAACAAAGGCCAACATTGTTGTTCATCTTGCTGCCATCTGTAAAGAAAACCATATAAAAACTCATTTCATTAGTCTTTTTAGAACTGCAGAAATTTATGGCTCTAAAGAGCGGGATGAGGAAGATCAGTGAAGGGGACAATTCCATTTATGCAGTCTTCCACAGTTGCCAATGACTCAAAAATATTATTCTTATATGCAATTTCAAAATCAACAGGCATAACTCATGCCAGAATGAAAGTAGCCTCATAGCTTAAGGTTCTATAACCACTAATAATACAAAGAAGAACTCTCTGTTGAACCTTCTTTGCAAGAATATGTCCCAAAGTACGACAGCCGTACGAAATGAAAGGTACAACACACTGCTTATATATCAGTTTCTTAATATAGTAGCTTACTCCAAAATTATTTCTGGCGATTCAGTGAAAGCCATTAATAATTTTTTCACATTTAGCAGAAAAGAATTCAATGTGTTTTTTCCATGTTAATTTTTGGTCAAGAATGACACCAAGATACTTAAAATTTTCTACAAATTCCAACGAAGAATCATCGAGTACCAAAGAAGCGATATTTTGTTCATCAAACTTTCTAGGAACAACCATAGCTTTACTTTTTGAGGGATTGAAAGTGGGTTTCTGAGAAATCGCCAATTGGAGACAAAATCTAGAACTTCTTGTGCTCTTAAAAGAATGTTATTCAAAGTCTTTTCTTGGAAAATTAAAGTCGTCTGCAAATTCAATTTTTAAACAACTGTCAAGATGACTTAACAGATAATTTATCATGTTCCAGATAGTAGGTCTTGACACAAAACCTTGAGGACAGCCTTTTCCTAGAGAATAAACCTTAGCTTCAGTCCGAAGCTGAAGCTCAGCGGTCCTCCCATTCAAGAAGCTTTTAAGCAGGTTATAGATATTATGTGGTATACCAGCATCTTTTAGAATTTTAAGATAAATCACCACCAAGCATTATCAAAAGCCCCTTTGAAATCCAGGAAAATAAGAGTTGTAGTAAACTTTATTTTCTTTCCACACTGCAAGATATTACAAAGACAATAATGGCATCTTCAGCAGACTTCTGAGGAGTAAACCTGAACTGAGAATCATCATAAAAACATTTCTGTCTCAAATACCAATTTATTCTTTTAATGAAGAGAGTTTCAAGACATTTTCCTAAAGCAGGCAAAAAGACTAATGCATCTAATGTTATCAAGATAAGGAGTTCATATATTTAAGGTTTTAGGAATCAATTTGACCTGCATTTTTGAAAAAGAACAAAGGATTTAATTTTGTGTAAGCCTTTAAAGATTTAATTCAAATACTGAATCTAACATTGAAAGAAACAAAATCTACAGAAATTTGGTAAAAATGATCTCTAATTACATGAAAAATTTCCAAGCCTATTTAGTTAACTTTTAGGAAATATTTTCTAATAAAGAGTTCTACTGTCATGTAGTTGTGAAATAAATATTAAAATTTATTTTCTTCATCATAATTAGTCATTATATCTATATTTAATTTATTCAAAGCTAAACCTTTTGAAGATTTATACATGTATATAATATATATACACTGACAAGCCAAAGCATGACCATCTCCCCATTTTTCAATAAACTTGTCTGAGTGACTTGGAGGGCACATGATTAAGTGGAAATGGTATTTAAGTGCTGCTTGGAGAAGTAAGGAATCTTTCTTGCACTTACTTTCGCGAGTGATAAGAAAGGCTGCTGATCTAAGTGAATTTGATAGAGGGCAAATTGTAATAGTCTCAAGACTCAGAACGAGTATTCCTGAACTGTACAATTGGTAGGTTGTTAACAATCTGTCATCATTAATTTTTATGCAAAGTGGATAAATGGCAAAGAAGGCAGCAGTAGATGCAAAGGTGTGTCATCAAAGAAAAAGGACATCAGAGACTAGCAAAATTGGTGCCACAAATCAGTAAAATTTGCAGGAAAACATGCAATAAAATATTATACTTGAGAAGCCCCCTAGTCAGAAAATGGCTACATACAAAAGTGAATGAGATTAAGTTATAATTATTGTACTAATTATGATTTAAATATTTCATCCAAAAGTTATAACTAGAATACAATTATACAGATACTTTAAAATATGAATCATTTTGTCATCAAATTAAATTATATTCACTTATAAAGAAAACAGTTTGGAAGTGAGAAATTTTTGAAAATACATTGTGTCTTTGCTTGGACTTTTGCACAATGCGCTTGATGTACTTACCATTATTTCATATGGAAGGAATGTCTCAATTGTTTATTGGTTGTGTTTTAATATAATGATAAATACTACAAATGTACACACGGATTACTGCTGTTTTAAAAATAGCTAAAAATGTCTCTTCTCCTTCATGGTGTATTCTGCAATTCACGCATATAAACTGAGTTAACCTTCTGAGCGGCACAGGATTTTAGATCCATCATGAAGACCGGTATTTAAACAACATTTATTAATTGAGTTTGTAAATTACTTATTTTAGTCTGTATTTTCATAAACATACATTCATTAAGATGATATTTACATTATTAAAGAAAGTAAGAAAGCAAAATATCTTATACATGCTAATATATGCCAAGCAGCAAAACTTCTGATGACCAGATAAAGCCGGTTATAACGCTCCGAGGGTTAAGTAGAAACTTGCATTCACTCATTTATATTCACTAATAATAAATGAAATTCATATAGGTTCTCTTACCAGGAAAGGGAAATTAATACATTCGTGACTGCATTTTTACTTTTGTTATTTTCATTGATGATTATTACTAATACTAGTAAAAATTCAAGAAAACTTAGATTCTTTTCTTTTTCCCTCAGAAAAATCACCTTCATATTTATTCAGATTATTTGAAAGAATATCTGTCTATAACTCATTTTGTATAATCTTCAATAAAAAATTTTACTAACATTTACATATTGTTTAAAGAAACAAAATTTATTTTCATTTTTATTCGAATTATATCAAAAATAAACTTATATATACTGTCAATAAACCACTAACTAGGTTAAGAAACTGATTTCAACATTACAAATTTCCTTTTAAACTCGACATATAAAATGTGGATACATAAACACAGAAGGGAAGAATTATATAACACACAAGCTTAATACTTTTACTCAGCTGTATAGTAAGCTGTCAAATTTCTGTAATTTTATAACTTTGGCATACATAATTTGACCAGGAGAAAGCTGCAGTATGAATGTACACACATATGTAAAATAGTATAAAACTCTTAAAGGACTAATCATAATAGTCTTAGGCCATAAAAAATACTAGTTATATTCTAGTTAATAAGGTAAGCTTTCTTTGATTACAGATAATATAGTTAGATATTATTTATTTTAATTCTTAATAAAATTTCTATTGCATTTATGAAGAACAGCATGATAAAAATTATTTTATTAAATATGTGCAATTAATTATGTTATATGTGTATAACACTTCGGAATTTTTTTATACAACACTTAAAAACTACATGCCTGCATTGAACTATTTTTTTTATATTAAAGAATTCATACAGGTGATTAATAATTCCTGATTTATGCAACTATAAACAACATACACAAAACAGTGAATGAACATAAATAATATGATGAAGAAAAATTATTAAAATATTCATTTACACAAGGAAAATTTTAAAAAATATTGCACATAAAAATTTTTTTAAGCATCTTCGTTTCCTATAAATGCATGTTGTCTTTGCTTACATTCAAAGCAGATCTTATAACACCAGGAGAATACATTTTATAAATATAATACAGAAAAAGCAACAATGAAAGAAACAGAAACACTCTCGTAAAAAAATTATATTGATTTACAGTAAGAAAGTGGGGAAACAAATCAAATAAAACAAAAAAGTAAAATATCATGAAAATAAGTGAAATATACTTAAACAAATTAATGTATAAAAATAATTTTAAACAAAATACATACTTTTTTGTTTTTAATCTCTAATACTGCTAATTATTAATAATAATATAATAAATGCAATAAATTTATGCTTTATTATTTGTATGAATTTTCTTTATTTTTATGCTCAATGCTTTACACATAATATAAATTAGCAAATGGAACACTTAAGTGATCAATATACAAAAGTAATTTAACACAGTGACTGCCGCGCGCATTAGACGTGGTTTGGCCGTGATGCCAACTTGATATTTTTATTATGCAATGTATATTATGTTGAAATATTATCTACAGAAGATAATGTGAGTTATATAATTGTGCTTAATGCCTTTTTCATGGTGGGGGGTTACCAAGGTGCTGTAGATCATTATTGCGATTTATAATTTAAATTATCACGATTTATTATTTTTCAAAGCACAATTTTACTATTTAAAAATTTATCATTTTATTTAATTTATCGAGATATTTACTCTAATTATGTATTATACTATTGGTCACGTTGGCGGTCATCGGAGGCACCCACGGTGCTGTAGTCGAGTGCCGGTCACCGGTGACACCCACAGCAGTCAACGTATTAATATGCAAAACAAAAAATCTTAAAAAAGTTATTGGCTGCTCAATTTTAAATTTCATTAAATAATAAACTTTGCTTTAAGAAATGTTAATTAAAATATAAATAAATAAACAAAAAAAAAAACTGCCAAAACTTTTCTATGATTTAAAACAGTTTTTAATGTTTTCCATCACTTAAAATAATTCATAATATAAGCTTTCATAATTAATTTAATTTTAAAGATAATATTCCTGCACATGGGCATATTTTAATTGTTATGTGACACAAACTGCTGAAACATGGCAAATTTTCTTACAATATTTAACAAACAAAAATATAATATGCTATAATATTCATAAAGCAGAAGTATAAAATTATGTACAGTATCATTAAGTAGAAAGTTATTACAATTTTGAATTTTCCATTTATATAAATATATTGTAGCACTTATTGTCTTTGTACTGGAAGAGCAATGTGAGTTGTAAACTTAACATTTCATATGTAAATATTTTACAATTTAATCACTGAGTATACTTAGCAGAGTCCATGATAGAACACACAAACCAATTTTTGTGAAATACAATTAAGCATATCAGCAACTGAAAAATCATATTTATCTAACAATCATTGTAACATTAATTTCATATATATTTTATGACAGATAGCAATAAAAACCACAAATGCAACCAAATTGTACATCTCTGTTGTTTTAATTATTTATGAATTGTTTTTAGCAAACTTAAACAAAATGAGCAACAAAACTGACTTAAGTATAACGAAATATATTAAAACTAAACATAAAGCTTTCAAAAATGCGTAAGTTATTAAGAACTTAAGTACAAAGATTTACTGTGCACAAAGCTAAGAGTATGTAAATTGATAAGATTTTTTAATATTGACTGTATTAAGCACAATGAATTAAAATTCATCGTGTCTTACAAGAGCTTCTCCGAAATCAGTGGCTTGGCTTCCAACAAACAGATCGAATTTATTCAGTATTTCTTCTTTACTCAATTGATTATCCTTTAAATAATGATAATGAAGAAATTATATGATATACCAAAGAAAAAGTTCATGCATTTATTAAGACAATAAAATAATTAATAAAATGTTCACTAAATAATTTTCAAATAACAACCACATCTTTTTTGTGGAACTTCTTGTAAGCCAGGAACAAGCTCAAAAGTCACTAAATATGGTTAATTAAATCACCAATTTGATTGAACAAAACTATACAAATAGATTAAATTTAAACATACACAACCTCAGATAAAACAAGATTTAAGAAGTTTAAAAAAGTAAAGAAAATTCTCTTATGTAAAAAATTAACTAAATAATACATAAAATTCATATTTATTAACATATTTTCTAGGAGTAAAATCATATTTAGGAAATATTACATTCTTAATTTCTAAACATCAGAAATTTCTGTTGTGATTTTTTGACTGTGACTGCTTAAAATATATGATTTCCATAAATATCAGTACTTTCTGTATTATTGAAACATATCACAACTGCTATTTTAACTTAGAAGTCAATCCTCCAAATTTTTCAAACAGATTAACAAAGTACACTAACATGTTTTTCATGCTAAAACTTCCAGGAATGGTATAAACAACTTCCTTATTCTAGAAAACACATATTATTAAGAAATGATCAATATTTTAAGAAGTCTTAACTAGCAACACAAAAAGGCATTTAAAATAAAATATTAGTTATTTAAACTACAACAGAATACAGTGATGATTATAAAACTAATAAATTTGATGGAGTTGACAGTTTTGAATGATCAGTCATAACTTGGGTAGTTGGAAAGGAGAAACAACGATCATAATTAGGACTGTAACCATGATTCATAAAAATAAAGCTTATAAAGATCAATAGTGCAATTTCTAAATATTTTAAATTGATATTAATAAGTAATATTGATTTTTCCATTGTTTAATAAATAAATAAATTCAAAACTGCCTATTTATTTATTGGTACTTCCTTTTTATTATGACCTCTAAGTTTTAAACATTTCCATGATTTTAAATAAATTGCCAACATGTATTGCAAACCACTGCCAAACAGCCGACAGTTCTAATCATGGTCATTTATAATCTGTCCATCAGGAAAAAACTCTGAACACACCATATATTATCATCATATTCCGATTTTACTGTGTCTCTTAAAAGAAAGAAAGAAACTGGTTTACTAAGGATGAGGAAGATGCTTAAAAACTCAAGCATTTAATGAGGATTTGAGACACACACACCTGTTGATTTATTAACAATCTTGGTATCATTTAATTAATGTGAGCCATAATAACATGGAAGTATTACTTAATTTACAGTGCATATCCTTTAAAAAAAAATACCAGAAGAGCACATTAAATCTTTCGCCAGAAATTCTAGTTTTGTGTTTACCCAAGGAGAAATGGCAAATGCTGTTGATGACAGCTGAGAAAATAAGTTAACTCCAGTTTCTCACAGTATGGCCATTGAATTTTCTGAAAATATGGATGCACTTACTAAGAGATTCCTAAGCAGGCCTCCATTTCAAAAGCTCATCACTATTTCACTCCCTGAACTTAAGTCCCTAATCAAAGAACTAAATCTTTGTACAGCTTGTGGTTTTCACATTTTGAACAAAGCACTATGGACTTTTCAATGCAAATGCACTGTGTTTTTGTGCAATCTTTCTAATGCATGCCTTAGAGAAGTTTGCTATCCTGATTGCTGGAAAACCACAGTCATCACTATATTCAAGAAACCTGGGAAAGACCTGATCAACTCCATGAGTTACAGAGCCATAAATATGCTTGCTGTGTAAGGTCAGAAATCTGTCCAATATTCTCAAACAAATTAATAGTTTTATAAATGAGCACCAAATCATCAGACCCATTCAATTTGTTTTCCAAACAAATCATTCCACTTTTCATCAAATTTTGTCAGCATCTGAAACAATCTCTGAACGTCTCAACAGTATAAACACTACAGCAATGTGCTTTTTAGATTTCAAGAAGGCCTCCACAATAAGATTTGGCATGCATGTCTTATCTGTAAGCTTATGGCTAGCAACTTTGCAATAATTCACATAATTGCAAAATACCTAAATATAAGGAACTTAACTTTAAAGCTGACTCCCAAATGTATAGGTTTCATATTCGAATTTAATTTTTCTCAAATATGAAACTTACACATTTGGGAGTACCACAGGGATCACTCTTTGGCCTAGTTTTATTTAATGTTTTCAGTAATGACTTAAAACTTTCACACACTGTAAAGCAGCAATTTACGCAAATGATACTATACAAGATAATTCAGTTTTAAGCATCCATTTACACAGATATAAAGCATTATGGAATCAAAGAATGATGCACCAAGTGGAGATTCAAAATCCAGGTAAATGTTACTCGATGTACGTACGTTGTTTGGAAAGTAAGGTCTGACTTGTTATAAAACATAAACCATTATAGATTTTTATCAAAAAATTTTTTTATTTAATACCTTATATGTTTCCCTATTTTTCTACAGTTTCCATATTTTTCTAAACATTTGTCTTAATGTTCTACAAGCTTTTGTATGCCTAAGTCATAGAGATCTGCTGTCTGTGAGGACAACCAGTCTCAAAATGCTTCTTTCACTTCGTCATCTGTGGTGAAGAGCTTGCCGCTGAGGAACTTCTACAAGTGAAAATCACTCGGTGTCAAGTCTGGACTGTACGATGATTGGTTAATCTGCTCCCATCCAAAAGATCTGATCAGATTTTGGGTGTGAATGGCAGAATGGGGTCTGGCATTGTCATGCAGCAACAAAACTCCAGACAGCAGAGGATCATGTCGCTTATTCTGTATCGCACATCTAAGTTTAGTCAGGGTAGCACAGTAAGTGGCTGTATTTATTGTTTTCCCTTGCTGCATAATCTCGGCTAACAAGACACTACATCTATCCCAAAACACATTTGCCATAACTTTTGTGTGTTGAGATTGTCCAGGGTTCATAGCCACATTTTAGTTAAAAAAATAAGCACCTATAAGCACTTTTCAAGCACATTTTAAGAAAAAAAATAAGCACCTGTCTAATTACATCATACACAACTGCATAACCTTAAAAATTAGACTGTAATTTAAAATATGAGAAATGCAGTATTTATTAAGAGAGATAGCATTACCTCAACCATGGAAAATAATTATTTTATTATTATTTTTTTTAAATTTTAAATAACAGTTCAATTACAGAACTATTTACAATGAGAGAAAAAAAAAAACTACTCAGAACTAAACTATATTACAATTTAATGATGAAATTTCAGTTCAAAATAGAGAAAATAAATAAATAAGCAGATTTATTGTATTCGCTTGGAACCTAATAATAAATACAATTTATTTTTCCACTCATATATATTTAAATAATTTAATCTAAATTCTGAACATTTTCTAAATTTTCATTGTATATCAGTTTTCCTTAAGATATTGCAAGCAAAGTATTTAGTAAAAAAGACGAACATTCTGAAATCAGAAGAGGAAATTTGCTATGCAGTCATCCTTTAACAATAAAAGCTTAACTAACCCACATACTTGGAAATTGGCGAATATTGGACAGCCGAACTTAACTTGAAAAAGAGGAGCGAAGCGGATGGGGGGGGGTAGATTGTAGCCACTCTTTAGATTTTCCCGCTAAATAAATGCTTTTGACATTTTGATATGTGCATCATATAAAACATATATGTGCATTATATAAACGGAACTAAAAAATATTCTGCGTAGCAAACACAGTAAAACGCTTTTAAGTGTTTTAAAATAAATCTCGGACTGAACATCAAAATTAATTATCTCTGCAAAATATCGCAAACGTTACTGCACAATACGTGAGCCATGAATTATGTGATATTATACAATCGAAATCAACAGCTGCCGGTATTGGGAGAATAAAGAACTAAATAACTGGGGTGTTTTTCATTCTAATTTTCAAAAGACGGCGTTAAATTTCCGGAATAGAATCCTTCTTCGCTTGGGTTGGTAGACCACAGAACTTTTAGTCCTATTCAATCCAGATAGGTAAGTGACAAAAAAAAAAAAAAAAAAAAAAAAAAGTCTGTTGCTTGTTTTGCAGCGAATATTCAAGCTTTTGCGGGGAAAGGGGAGAGCCTCCCAACCTTCGTACTGTATAATGTATTGGCCAAAAAAATGAAAGCCATTCCGAATATTATTCCTTAGAAAGCTAATTTGTGTTAAAACACAATCATTTTTGGAAGTTTACTATACTTCAGCAGTTACTGCAACTATGTTATTATAAACATTCATACATATACTCATAATATAAGCATAACGATCATAATAAACATGAATATGAACTGACCAAGCAGAACGAGAATGCAAATTTTTAAGATCTTGATAGAAATTGAAACGTGTGTAGTATTTGGGTGGGAGGAAAAGAATGCCGAATGTACCAGAATTTTCTACTGCTTTTCCAACTCTTTGACCAATAGAAAGATGGGCACCTGTCTGTACTCTTCATGCACACCAAAGGTTATGCTAATGCAGAGAAAGGGGGAAAAGCTGTTTCTGGGAGTATGATTCACCATCTGACATTCCATATTAGGAAGGAGAGTTGGTTATTTAGTTTCGGCTTTGGTACAGGAAAAAAAAGCGCGTTCATTAAAAAAAAAAAAAAAAAGCACTAAAAGCAAAAAATAAGCACTAAAAACAAAAAAATAAGGGCTTTAAAGAAAAAGTAAGCACCTATAAGGGCCTTTATATTTTATTTTCAAATATAAGGACTTATAAGCACTTATAAGCACCGCTACGAACCCTGTTGTCTGTTTGGCCTTGACATTGACTGGCGAAGCCGTGTGATGCCATTCCATTGACTAATGTTTAGATTCTGGGGTCATTTGGTTCCAAAAGACACCTTTTTTAGGGAGCAAACAACAAAGAAAATAGTCATGCTATATAAAAATAATGAGAAATTTTAAGATTAAGAGAAAGCCGGGAGAAACATGTAAATCAGGTTGATGATGGGAGTATGGTCGGAATCAGCAAAGTTGGCAACACTGTGCATTATTAGAAAGAAATTCCATCCTAGCAACAGACTCCAAACTTCTACTGTGTAAAACATTTACAGTCAAAAGTCTTTAATCCAGACTCGTCGGAACTTCGGCGATTCCGGATTATAGATCATCAATTTAAATCTGGTAAGATGGCATGCAGAAATTATAAAATTAAAAGTATGAAACCATAATTTATGAAATGAGAGCAATTATGATCTAAAGGGTATCAAAATTTAAAAAAAAAAAGCTTTATATTTATTTGTTTACTTTATTAAACATTTCTTTCAACGCACGCATGCGTAAAGCATACATTACGCATATTCGAAATTAGAAAATTTCAATAATTAAAACTATTGGATTCTATTATTATTATTGGAAAAGTATTGGAACTATTGGATGTGTATTCATGATATTTATAATGACGATGAATTTGATTTAAATCATATCAAAGACGGAGTAAATCGAGATGAAATACTACATTTAGTAAGGAATTACAAGCCAAATAAAAAGATAAGGATAGTGACAAATCAACTTCCAGTTCATTGCGCACCACTTTGGTAGCTCCCAGAATCATAATTTTTTTTTTGACATAATGGAAAGTTCAAGCTTACTTTTATAAAATTGCTCTAACAGTCTGCAAAAAATAATAAGCCAGATCCAATTCAAAGATTAAGGAACAATGCAATGTGCAACATTAACTGAAATATATAATTAGATAATTTTAGCTTAGCTCATACCGTCCGTTATACATTAAACGTGCATGGGTAAACGTATTATGCGCATGTGTAAAGGTATTATGTGCATGCGTTGACGCATGCGCAGAAAGTTTGTAGCTTTGAGATCTGGATTATAGATCATTTCGGATTAAAGACTTTTGACTGTGTAAGGTCTATCTTCAACAGCATGGACTATAACTATGGCAAATGTGTTTTGGGATAGACGTGGTGTCTTGTTAGTTGAGTTTATGCAGCAAGGGACAACAATAAATATGCAACAACAGCTTGGATTATAGCTTATGAAATTCTCCATAAATGTTTCAGAATAAATGCTTATGTATAACCACCAGTGCACTTGGTTTGTGAAAAATTATACTATACACAAGGACTTAAAAGTTAAATCTGTTCATTCATATATCCTGACTACCTCTCACAATACATTTCTCAAGATGAAGTGCCCTAAAATTCGTTCAAAGAAATTCGTGGCATTCTTAATTATGGTGTATCAGCTTATTAAAAGGCCCAAAACCATCTATCACAATTCTCTTCTTTTTGACCTTAGTGCCTGATAATCAATGTGTAATTTTTTGTTACCAGCAATGCACACTTACTTACCTGCCCATTGGGCTTTACCTCTGAATTAATATTACCAGCTTAGGGCAAATATTAATACCATGAAAAAAGATAACCATGTTATTGAATCTTTTGTTACATTTTAATCTTTGATCTCTAAAGGCATATCTAATGTACTTTTGCTATAGTTTTCTTACCAAAAGGAATTCTTTTTCAGACTATAAACTGATAGTAAAACTGAATGCTAATTCTTAAATTTACACTACAGCTTTCTCAACTTATTCTTTTCAACTGGTTTAACCCTTATAAATGCATGAAATTGCCATATGAGTATGTTGCCATAAACAGTATATATCTAATTGGTTACACTATGCAGTACGCTAAAATTTGTGTTTTGATTTGACTTGCATGACTAAATATGAATATGTTGCATAGTGCAGCCAACTGGATACATACTGTTTACATAGATAGTTTTGAAAGTTTCAGTGTAACACTAATGGTGTAACTGTTATTATTGTTAGTTGATGTGTAGGATGTGGACATTATTATGTTTATGAATTTTTGATTTTGTGTTTGCTGTTATTTTGATGTATTCAAAGTTTTAAAAATGTTTGAACAAGTTTATAAGGTATGTATTATTACATAAAATTGTTATTACACATTTTCCTATCCCCCTTTTTTTGCATAATGTACGCATTTGGCAACAATAATATTTTTTCAAAAATTGGAATAAAAACTTAGTTTAGTTTTTTTAGTATTTTCCCTATTTTATTTGATATCAATTCTAATGCATTTTTGACTTGAATTAGAAAAATAAAATAAAAATTCATGCATTTAAGGATTAATGGAAGAAATGAGTTTAGGCCTTTAGTTAAGACACTTTTCAACTGCATACAAATCCAATCACAGTTAAATAATCAGCAATCAGTATTCATAATCAGAAATTAATTAATAACAGCTGAACTACATTTTAACCTCTAAAAGATTTTCAGATAATGTATATTAGCATACAGTATCATTTCAGTGAAAAATTAAATTTTAGTTTAAACAAAATACTTAATGTAAATTAAATTTTTATTTCCTTCTTATGTAACTTAAATTTAATTATACACAAGTCAAATGATTAAAAAATTTTGAGCTCGCATTCCCCCCCCCTTAAATTTTAATTTCATTTTCAAAATTAAATTGAAGAAAGAAGTATGTACAGAAAATAAAAAGATTTAGTTTGCTTACTCTGTTTATATCTGATTCATACACCAAGTGTTTTGCCTCTGCGTCACTGTTATCATAATCATCTGGGAGAATCCACTGTTTGACTTCTTCAAATTCCATGAATCCACTCTTATCCTTGTCGCGAAAGAGTTTGAATTGATCTCGCTCGGACTGCACCCAACTTGGTTCATCCTCCAGATCATCATCATCATTATACATATCACCTAACCATAATTTTAATCAATTTTGTAATGATTAATAATTTAATAATGGTAACTTTAAATTATTTAAATAAACTAATACAATATATAACCTCCCCCCAAAAAGATGAATATTATCCATGAAATGAAAATTAATTTCTGTATTTATGAAATTGTATATTACATACAAATTATTCAATAACTGGACATTTTAGAACTTGCTCATGAATTAATAGTTGTAATGTCAGAAAACATAAAACATTACCTTTTTTTATTCAAAATTTAAAACTCGCATGCAAGATATTAACTGAAAAGTACTTCGTCAAAAAAGAAAAAGGTCATCAAACTGTCTTTCAAAATGGCATGCATTTTTTTGGTGGCACTAATGATACCAAATGACACCAGGACAAATTTTCTAACTTCTGATCAAGTTGATATGCATCATCTGCATCTACATATAGCTGTTCATGTAAGAAACAACAAAAGACTACTATCAATGAATCCTATATTCTGTTAGCATGAAGAAGTTACTTAACTTGTTCAGGACCATCAAAAAGAGAAAGAAGCACCCCAAAAGTATATCTAAGCATGGGATTGGCAATTTTCCCCATTAAGCCTAATTTCATTTAAAATCATATATACAATAAACATGCTAAAATTTACAGTTTAATATCATTGATAATAAATATCTAAATATACTGTAATAAAATTTTCATGATATTAAAGAAAAATGTGATTTTTAAAGAAAACGATTTCAGTTTAATAAAAAAATCTGATGTGTACACCACATGACTTCCTTGTACGGAATACTAAACTATACACATTGTTCCTTGCTTGTTCGTTTAAACTTATTGGATTGAATTAAATCTACTTCGCCGACAGCGCATAAACCACAATAGAATAAATGCATTCTTTAAAATTCACTGTATTTGTTTACCATAGCGACACTCTGGCGCTAGGTTCACTTAACAGTATTATATTTCGTTCATATTATAACTCAGAATGCACAAAATTTATATCATTTAAAGAATTATCTAATCGTTGCCACATGTCCTATTCAAATACTATAATAAAGCTAGAATGATGTATAAAAGAAATTAAGCAAACAAAACAAAAAAGAAACAGTTTCTCACAGACGAATGAGTATTTCTCATTTAATTAATTCAGTTCTCACTTCGCGACAAGGCAAAAATACATAAAAACTCAAAATATCTGTATTAAAAATTACGAAGTAAATCTTAAACACTTATTTCCTCAAAAAAATTCCAGAAAGGATTAAACATGATTTAATTTGCAATAATAAAGCAACAAATCCATTATTCTGCTGTTTCAAATGTAAAAAAGCAATGGCCGCCATCAAAAAAATTATTAGGCTTAGCAGCACTTAAACAACTTTAAAATTGTTGATAATTCTAAAAATATTGCATACAGATTTACGAAAGGCATAAAAACCTTAACCAGAAGATAAGAACAACATAATTAAATCATTTTTAAAGCAAAAAATGTACAATTTACAAACATACAAGAGTAAAGAAACTGAGATCACTGAGCCGGGTAACAGACTGTATATATATACAAATATATTTACATAGGTTTGGTGCAGCCGATTGCAACCAAAATACGAGGTGCACATCTGCATGTTATAGCAGTCCCATATACAAAATTTCAACGATCTGAGGCTACTCGGTTTTGAGTTATGCGAGATACGTACGTACATACGTTCGTACAGACGCCACGAAAAATTCTCTTCAGAATTAATTTTAAAGCAGTTTTATAATTTTTTTGAAGGAAAAGAGTCTTTTATTCTGTCCTTACGTACAGATATCACACAAAAACATCGTTAAATTGCATTCGATAGCAGTCAAAATGGATATTTTCGTTGAAATATGCTGCCTAAAACTTTTCACGATTACAATACTTCCTTTTTACTTCGTACAAGGAAGTAAAAAAGTTTTGTACATACACACTGACGAGACAAAACATTATGACCATCCACAAATTTTTCAATGAACTCATTTAGATGATGTAGCGGGCATATCATTAAGTTGGAATGGTATTTAACTGCTGTCGCAGAAGGTAAGGAATCTTTTTTGCACTTATTTTTGCGAATAATGGGAAAGGCCTCCGATCTAAACGACTTTGATAAGGGGCAAATTGTAATGGCCCAAACACTCGGAACTAGCATCTCCAAAACTGCACGACACCATCTGCCATTATTCATTTTTTTGCGGAGTGGTCAAATGACAGTAAAAACAGCAGAAGGTGCCAAAGTGTTAAATTTTCAATGTCTCATGAAAGAAAAATAAAATTGGAGACTGTCACTTGATCGCCAGATAGTGGCTTATCTGACAGCCCAATACAAATGTAGGTCAAAGTGCAAGTCTTTCGGAACAAACAGTTCAGTGGACACTGCTGGACATGGGACTGTGCTGCAGATGTCCCACTCGCGTGCCTCTTTTGATCAAGTATCTTTGCTAACTGTGTCTACAGTGCCCATGGAAACATCAAGAATGGCCATGAATAAGTGGTAGATAGTTGCCTGGTCAGATGAATCATGATTTATCATCCATCACGTTGATGATTGCATCAGGGTATGCTGTCTTCCAGGTGAACAGTTGCTCTGCCCCTGTAGAGCAGATCATACACAGGCTAATGGTGATGGTATTATGGTTTGGGGAACGTTTTCATGGGGCCCTTAGTTGCTGCTGAACAGAACATTTGAACATAACTATGGAAAAGTTGCAACTTTACATGGAGTCTGGCTTCCCAACTGGAAATGGAATCTTCCAACAGGAGAACACCTCATGTCACTAGGCTCGAATTGTGTTGGAATGGTTTGAGGAGCATAAAAATGAATTCCAATTAATGACCTGGCCACCTAACTCGCCAGATCTTAACCCAATAGAGCACATTTGGGATGTTATGGAGTGGCAGGTTATAGCTTAAACACCACCATGCCAGAATATCTTGACCTTGCGTGACTGCTGCTTAGACGTTTGGTACAACCTGTCTCCAGTCATCTACCAAGAACTTGTGACGTTCATGATGCTAAGGCAAGCTGCAGCTGTTTTGAAGGCCAAAGGTCGCACAACATGATATTGAGTAGGTGCTCATAATGTTTTGGCTCTTCACAGTGTATGTATTGTGTGTGTAAATATATATATATATGTGTATCTGTGTGTGAAATCATTTTATTTAAATATATAAATATATGTATAAAGAAGATGATTTTATTTTAGTAAAAAAAGTTATATATATGTAAGAAAAATAAAGAATATGTAGTAAAAGATTAAATTAGCAGTTTAAATTCCCTTCTGTATTCTAAAAATAGTAACCTCTATTTGCACTGCATCATTTCGAGATTAACGTCATATGACTCTTACATAATTCTTATGACGCATATGGAAATAAAACTCAATGCAGCCAATAATAATTTTACAGAAGTATTAACTAACCAATCAAAATGCATTCAGAAACAGAACTAAGTCTGAATTAAGATTTCACCCAGAACATAATGCACTTGATTCTACTCTTTGACTTAGCTGGGCTGCTATCTGTCAGCTCCTTCTTTATTACTGCAAATTTATCTAAAATGTAAAACTTTATGGTATACACACAACTAATGCGCCAACTTGTTTGTGGCCCCAACATGTTTGCTGAAATAAAAAATGAAGATTTAATCTACCCCCGCTTCCAATTTTCTATTCATTATGGATCAACACTTCTACACCATCAAAATTCCTGCTGGTCATTACTTCTCAATTCGATTTTATCACAATTGAGTCAAGTAGGATGTGTACCTGTGCTTCACCGAAGTACTATCACCGAAATTGTGAAAGAAATTAGTTAATTAATGCCTTCACGTGCTAATCTTCAAGATAGCTACAGCTCCGTCACTATATGCACAACAAGAAATCAGCAAGTCATCTACACTGAATCATTCCAAAACAAGTGTGTTACAAGTTTTAAACGTTTCAATTCAAAATAAATATGAATGCAATATGAAAATGTGAAAAAAAAATATCAAACAATAGATTTGCTGCAAGTGATTAAAAATGCAATTTAGTGCCAGTCGTTCAAAATTAATCCACGGTTTGTTTTATAGTAAAATGATGCAGTGCAAATAGAGGTTACTATTTGTAGAATACAGAAGGAAATTTCAGCTGCTAATTTAATCTTTTACTACATATTCTTAATTTTCCTGACATATTCATAGAAGGAGCAGACAAACGGCAGTCAAGCTAGGCGGAAGAGTAGAAAGCAAGTGCATTATGTTCAGAGTGAAATCTTAATTCAGACGGAGTTAGCTTTGCTTCTCAATGCATTTTGATTGGATAGTTAATACTTCTGTAAAATTATTATTGGCTGCTCGAGTTTTAGTTCCATTTACATCATCAGAATTATGCAAGAGTCATATGCATGGATTAACCTTTTAACTGAGCCTGAGATTATCTCGGGCACAGCACTGGTGTTCGAAAATGTCACGCCCGAGTATTTCTCGGGGTAATTTTTTTTTTGAGTGCATCGTATTGTCATACCCGAATATATATCGGGAGATGTTTATTTCGGCTACATTTGGTTTTTCCAATAAAAAAATTTGACAATTTTGTGTACCCAAATCATCAAAATAACTTGACAGTTAAAGGGTTAATCTTGAAATGCAGTGCAAATAGAGGTTACTATTCTTAGAATACAGAAAGGAATTTAAGCTGCTAATTTAATCTTTTACTACATATTCTTAATTTTTCTTACATATTTATGTGTGTAATAAACACTGGTACTCTTCTCCTATCGAAACGGATTTAAAAATGTATGTACGCAAGCATGTATGTATGGATAAATGGATGTGTTCATGAATGAATGCATGTGTGCACATATGTATGCACGTGTGTATGTATGTATGTATATGCATATATCTGGCTCTTTTGTAATATTTGTACTTTTGGTGAAAGATGAAAACAATTCACATTTAGTCATGGTCGAAAAAACTGCTGCGTAGATGGCTGGACATTATAGCATAATGGATGATCGGATGGAATTTTAGAAGCACAAGCAGCTTGAAAGTTAAACATCACTTATTCTTGAATGACGAAATTCTTAATACATAACTGTAGAAGACTAGGGATGCTAAATGCGCCCCATAATTTTAAATATGCAGTTATATTTTAATTAATGGCTAATAGCTAGCAGAGGCTGAGCGACAAGCTCTCAGGATGCAGGCAAAGAGGCAAAAGAGTAGAAAGCAAGTGCATTTGTTCAGAGTGAAATCTTAATTCAGACTGAGTTAGTTTTGGTTCTCAATGCATTTTAATTGGATAGTTAATACTTTTGTAAAATTATTATTGGCTGCTTTAGTTCTATTTACATCATCAGAATTATGTAAGAGTCATATGACATGGTTTAATCTTGAAATGATGCAGTGCAAATAGAAGTTACTATTTTTAGAATACAGAAGAGAATTTGAGCTGCTAATTTAAGGTCACATATATGATACTGTGGGCCACGAAGACAGAATCGCGTGATCACATATGTATGATCACAGTTATGAACAATATTGGTGGTAGTAGAGAGTTGTTGCATACCTGAGATGATATTTTAAATTTAAACACACATAATATCTACTATTGCCAAATGATAAAGCCAAATCATTACTATAATAAAATTAAAACTGAACATATACAGATATACACCACAAAAAAGATTTCAATTCTAAATAACCCAATATTTGTTTCTACAATTTTTTAAGTGCTATAAATATAAAACTATCAAAATATTAAAATGAAAATTACTATTTCCAAAATATCATTTGAGAAAGATGAGGAGAAAGAAGAAAATAAATAGACCATATTATGAAATAACAAAAATATTACTGCAGAGTTTCACCATAACAATTAGATGTCATTTTTGGTGCAAAATGATAATGTACAGAAGTAGATTAATACATTTACTTTGCAATCAATACATATGTGATGTTAGAAGCCTATTTTATTTATTACACAAATGATGTAAAAACATTTGCATAATATTATTAAGAAGTATAAATAAAATGACTTTTCAAAGGATTCACTTTACTACACTGACGGATAACAATTTTCCTATTATGGAAGCTAAACAAAAGATCTTACAGTTCATCAACTGGCAACAATTTTTGATTTTCATCTATGCTGGTAAAACTAACTACTATATGAAAAAACATTTACTACCCAAAATGTTAAAAACTATAAAAATAATACTAACATTTTCTTTTCTGTTAAATATTTAATATTAGTCTAAAAATCTTGGTGTTATCAAGCTTTAAAACCAAGCAACATGAAAATTTAATTTTGGATTAAATATTATAAGAATGCAAATAAAGAAATACAAACCTATATACTCTTCCAAAGAAATTTTTCCATCATTATTTTTATCAATATCTTCCATTGTTTCTATCACAACAATATCTTTCATGTGGTTACTATCTTCTGGATGTACAAAATCTATAAATTCCTTTTTATTGAGAGAATCATTGCCATCTTGATCAGCTCTCTTCCAACGTCGTAAATCCCGCTCCATCATCTCTTTGTAATGAGCTTTTTCATTATCATCGATAGCATCTAAAATAATAATAAATACTGTAAATACAAATTTTGGGGGAAAATCATAAATGACAATTCTCTTCAAATACAAATAATTTAATGATATTGAATATGTCACAGTTTCTATCACCTTAATTTTTTCAACTTAATTTAAAAAACAAATCTTAAATTCTCTTATATATTTTACTAAAACAAAACAATTTTAATATGAACCTGAGTTTAGAATTCTAAATTTAAAATACCATACTCTAATAATGAATTACAACAAAATATTCTGAATATTTAAAAACTACGAATAGTTTTATAACTACAGTTCCTCTAAAAACAGATACTTAGAATTACATAATACTTTGAAGGATTAGAGTTAAAAAAACATGTTAACATAATTTTAACATATTCTTCATTTTCTGATTTTAAATTATGGATGGCTTTATGCAATTTTAAATAATACATAATACTTTTATTATTATCATTTCTTTCAGTAAAGAAGTTTCTTTTATGTAATGTACTATTTGTTTTGTAATTATATGTGTTTTTTTTTTTTTCCTTATCACTCTCATTTTGAACAGTAATAAATTTTAAAAAATTATTTGGAATAAAATTTATAACATAATATAAAGTACATACATCTTTTACTAAAGCATTTTTAAAAATTTATATGAAGTTTACAGTGTAAACCTGAGTAATGTACACCCCATGCTTATTTCTAAGCAGTAACACTTATATGATCTAAGTAATCCTTTACAGTGCATACATACTATTTACTTTAAATGCATTCAAACAATGTTTTACTTCAACAGAAAAATCTTATTTTACATTTGAACTCTGGTGTAGTTTTATTGTGCCATTCAATTAACAATGTTATCTATGTAATGGCTGCCTGCTTTAAATTTTCATATCAATAGCAAAAATTTTTTAAAATGCTCAAATATTTACATCACCTTCTGTGTATCCATAAGTCACTTTTCTATACGTTTTCCACGTAACTTCAGGTTCATCATTTGGGTTCAAATTCTTCCACTGCCTTTCAGAATCGTCTATAATATATCGTCTCTGAGTGTGTTGAATCCAGTCTTTTAGCTCTTGCATAGAAACAAACCCATCCTGATTATTCAAAAATTCAAGTTTAATATTTAATATTTTATTTACATTATCAATATGTGCTGCTATTAATTCAGAGACTAAATATATAGTAAGAAGCATTAGCACTTTCTTTAGATACTACATCAAATATTGATGAAATTCTTAAACATTTCCTTTATTCACCAAATTTTTGTACCTGCAGACTATTTTCAGACTGAACTTTATCTTCAAAAGTAACATCTTCACAGCATGCCGAATTGTAAAAAAAAAAAAAAAAAAAAAAAAAAAGGGGGGGGGGAAGAATTAGAGAATATTCCAAAGAAGACTTTTAGGAAGACATCTGATAAGCTCTATATATTTATAAAAATAAGTATAATTCACCTACTAATGGTAAAGCTCTTGTTGCAAGTAGGCAAGGAAAGTCCCATTCCTGCTTTATAGAAAAATGATCATTTTCCTGATTTTTCTTCCCATATGTACACTGACATTCTTTCTTTACCATTTACAGAAAATTTGGCTTTTTTTGGGGGGGGAGGGGATGCTTTTTTGGTAGCTTGTGTGCCACGCAACGTTTAAAAAATTAAAAATAGAAGTAGATCTCAATAAAGATGAATAAATCAATGCATCTTAGCAAAAGTATTTTTTTTATGGTGGAAATGAACTGAGGTTTTTTTCAATGTGCAAAGCATCACAGGAATCAGCATAATGTGAGAAAACTGTATTGGAAGCAGTGAAGTCTTAAAACATGGGAATGGTCTAGAGGCACTGTAGATATACCATCCTATATTTAAAGAAATTTATCATTATAAGCAGGTACTTTTCTGTTTTGCCAGCGCAACCAATAAAGCCGCCAATAATGGCACAACTGATGCCAAATGGAATATTCTCACTGGTAACCTTTTACGCCTCATTTTCAAAACAAGTCACAGTCATTTCTTATCAGATTGATTTTTCTTTCAATACTGGCATACTATTACATAGAATTTTTATCAGATAGTACAATTTTATGCCCTAAGGCCATTAGCAGTAATTAAGTCAATTAGAATGCAATCACGCCACTCATCCAAAAATACAGGAAAGGCAAAGTCAAAGGTTAAATTTATCAATTCTAATGAGAATACACTAGCGAAGTAAAGCATTGTGGTTTTACATAATTTCTGAATAAGCTATTCGTATGAATTGAAATAATTCTTGCATTTAAACTTAAATTCCAAATTAAGATTTAACTTGAAATTAATGTAGATAATTACTGAGAGAATTAGAATTTTGTAGCGTAGTTTACGTAAGATGAGATCACTTGGGGTCATGTGATATGAACCGGAGAATCAGCTTGTTGACCATGAAACCATGAAAGCATAATAAATTCTTAAATTAATATCTTTTTACTAATTTATTGTCTTTATTTATTGGCTTTTTACAAAATTTTAAATGATATTAAAATGTTTATGCCTTCAAAAGAAAAAATTTTTAGAACTAACATTTGTTATGTGTATACTGTATACTGTCACCAATAAAGTCTGCTTGGAGAGATTTGCACCGGCAAAATGGAAAAGTACCAAAAAGCAATAATATAATTGTTTCTTACCTGCTCTAAGTTTTTACTCATTCAGTTCTAAAACTGGTGTGTATATTTACCCACTAATATCATATTTTAAATTACAATATACTACCAAAAAATGTATTTCAAGTTATAAACACTCAATTCAGCAATAAATGATTTAAAGGTGTTTTGTAGTAATCTATGTTTAAAATTAATGCTGAGCAATTCTAGAAACATAATAGTTTTCATTGTTTAGCTCTCATTAGTAAAGCCTAACACCAAGTAATTTAAACAACCATAGATTGAACCATGAGGAAGTTATGGACCCATGGTTTGACAGTATTATACACCAGAGGTCAAATAAATTTTGACATAGCTAATTAATGCAGAGACCACTGCAATAATAGGGGGCACTTTAGTAATCATCAGAGATCTGCTGAGTTGATAATAAATACATCACAGAAAAGCATAAATTGAATGGTAATAAATTGCATAATAAATTGTGTAATTGTAATTTTCTATAATAAACTGTGACTTTAAAATGGCCATTGGTTGATATTATTAGGATTATTACAGTCACTGATGTAAATTTTAATTGCAGAGTTGTTTGTCTGTCTCTCTCTCGTGAATATTTTTAGCTAATTGATAATAATGAGTCCTTAATTGGATAATTTTTAAGTCTTTCACATTCTGGTCAAACTAAGGAAATCTCTCAGACCCATGACGTCCACCTCGAGTGGATCCCATCACATGTTAATATTAGTGGTAAAGAGGTTGCTTATAAATTGGCCAAAGAGGATAGTGAAAATGAAACGGTCACTGGCTCCTCACTTAATTACCAAGAACTTGACTTGAATGAAATATCTAAATATAATATGGCACATTCCACCTACACACCAATGGTACACAGAAACATCCCGTGGCTCCCTACTGGAAATCATATGTGACCGTGGCTCCCAGACTGCTCCGACTAGACTAACAAGTGGCCACCTGCCTTTCCTTTGATAATGGCAGAAAATCCACCTCCCTTGGAAAAAATGCTGTGGACATCCAGCTACACCAGATCACATACTGGGTTGCATCGGACTTTCTAAGGAGGACTTAACATCTGATCCCCTTACTGTTATTGATATTTTTATGGTCAACAACCTTCTGGAGCTGATGTGACATTTGTCAGGTCTTTTGAGGATAAGCAACAGCAACACGATAAGTCCTACACTGGACAGGCATAACAAAGCATGACACACACAATGGACTTATAAATGAGTAACTTGTTATAAAAAGAGAACATGTTGTTTCAGGCAAATAAAGGATAGGGTATAGCTTTGTGATGCATGGGGTCCATGTGAGAAAATTACTCTGGATCACCTCAAAAATAAGGAAAGAAACTATGGCTAGATTGTGTTGTAGGCAGATTTTGAAAGCTTTGACATTGAGAAGGTTCATTTTGGAGGGGAGTAGGGGGCTATCTTCCAAGGAGGCCTAGACAAGGGTGTACACAAATAACAACTGCTTCAAGATCAAGATCTTTCAATAAGGGTCTGTCATAATAGTAAGTCTATTGGTTAGCAGTTACACTGAGGGTTTGCTGCTGCCATTGGAACACTATCGTACAGTACAATGTCCATAATCCGGAGTCGTTGAGACTTCGGCGATTCCGGATTAGGGGGTTTTGCAGATTATAGATCATCAATTTAAATCTGGTAAGATGGCATGCAGAAATGATACAATTAAAAATATGAAATCGTAATTTACTAATAAAGAACTATTATGATCTAAAGGGTATCAAAATTTACAAAAAAAAAAAAAAAAAAGCTTAATATTTATTTGTTAACTTCATTAAACATTTCTTTCAATTTAAGTTGTTTAAGATCCTTCCACAAAAAGTTCCTTTTTCTTGTGTCATATATAGTGGACTTTCCAATGTCATACTTCTTGCATAATTTTGAGACGGATAGGCCTTTATCCATTTTTTTTGCAGTAATTCCACTTTTTGTTTAATAGACATCGAAACATGCTTTCGTTTTGTAGATCCTTTGGCAGCTCCAGAATTGATAACTCTTTTTGACATAATCGAAAGTTCAAGCTTAATTTTTATAAAATTGTTCTAACAGTCTGCAAAAAATAATAAGCCGGATCCAATAAGAAGATTAAGGAACTTCGCAATCTGCAACATTAACTGAAATGCCTTAGATAATTTTAGCCTAGCTTATACAGTCTGTTATACATTAAACGTGCATATGCGCATGCGCATAAAGTTTGTAGCTTTGAGGTCCGGATTATAGATCATTCTGGATTATGGACATCCGGATTACAGACTTTGTACTGTATCACTGCAAAACTGCATACAGAAGGCTTAATGAAAAAGGCCTTTATGCTAGAAAGTCAAAGCTATGTGTTTCACTTTCTTCACAACAAAAGAGGGTTCACTTTAACTGGTGCAAATTATTTTGGAACTGGAATGAACGCCAGTGGTTCCATGTTCTCTTTACTGATAAGCCAAGGTTTAGTTTAATATCTGATTTCAATCTGTAAGGAATTACAAACATGAAATCTTGCTTCAAACATTAAGAAACAGCCATGCAGGTCTGATGGTAGGAAAGGGAATAATGATCGATGGACATACGACCCTATATATTTTCAACAGCTAATCTGTCAAAGGCCAGAGATATCTGGGTGAGGTTTTAGAAGCTTATGCAACATTTTTCAGTACATACGGATTTGACTTTTTATTTATGGTTGAAAATGGTTGCCCACATTGAGAAAATTTTGTTGATGAATTCTTTGAAAGTGAAAGTCATTGAATGAATATCGTGGCCAATAAAATCTTCTGATATTATTCTGATAGAGAACTCAGAGACTAAACTGAAAAAGCAGTTGCAGGGGATATCTTCCTCATAGAGATGTAAATGCCCCGAAGCCATATTACTGGATGACTGGAATTTAATTCCCCAAACTGTGGTTAACACGTTGACTGCCGTGGGGGTCACCAGCACTCGATTTGGCTACATCGCTGTGTGTGCCACCAGTGATCGGCGACTTGACCAATAGCAAAATACAAAATTAGAGTAAATATCAATACTGATAAATTTTTAAATAGTACCATTGTTACTATAATGGTTTGAAAAATAATAAGTTGTAAAAATTTTAATTATAAATTTCAATAATGGTTTGGGTCACCGGTGACCTCCACCACGAAAAATGCATTAAGCATGATTATATAACTCGCATTATCTTCTGTAGATAATATTTCAATAGAATATATGTTGCATAATAAAAATTTCAAATTGGTGTCATGGGCAAACCACATAAAATACACGTGGCAGTCAACCTGTTAATATTATTGCCAGCATGACAACATGATGTGGCAGCTACTCAGAACTTTTTATACATTTCCGTGGCCCCTACACTTAGGTATAGGAAAACTGCATACTCATTATAAAAAATAAAATACAAAAAGTGTGACTCTAGTTTGACAAAAAAATGACCAAGATACTTCATTTTAAATTTAGTGATGATATCCAAAGAGTGTACATACAATTTAACACTGAAATGTTTGCATTTGTACACACACAAAAAAAAAAAAAAGTTAAAAATATATTTCTTTTGTTAATAGATTAAATAATGGGCATTGTTCAGCAAATCATTATGAAAAGTGTTGATCAGTATAAATTTTATCAAAAAATATATCATATTTACTATATAAATTCATTAAAAATAGAAATTATTTTTAGTTTAATGAATTTTTTGTACAGATGCCAGATTATGATTCTTTAGTAAAACTAAATTAGAATAATTCCTGAAAATATTAATAATACATTTTTACATTTTGTTAACTTATAAATAATTTGTGTGAAAATTTTTTCAACATACCAAATGTAACAAAATTATAAATTAATGAAACTAGTAAACCACAAAAATATATGGAATATTATTTAATTGAGTAATGATGAAACATTTTAGCATTCAGTGTAAGATGTTTTCAACATCTCTATAATACTGTCCTCAAGCAATGGGATTTAGTGCCAGCTTAGCATAACGCAACAATACACTTACAGCATTTGTGCTTTTGTTTGATGTAACGTGACTGGTTCTTGATAAGCCAACTTTTGTTTTTATGAACAAGGATATAAACTAACTGTTATTGCTGTATTTCTTCTAATAAGAAAAATAATTAAAATTTAGGACCTGCCTTCCACAAAACAGTAGATTATTTTCCAAAATTATAGAATCCTACAATCAAAATCAGATTGTATTAATGGATACGGAATGTTCAACTCAATACAACTGACAAAAATGGGTAACAGATTGAAAAAATATCTGCAGGGAAATTCCTACACTGCGCTCCCCCCCCAAAAAAAGAGACAGTTTTATATCGCCCATTTTACTGGGCCGATTGACAAAATTCAAATTGCGTTTTTCATGTCTCGAAAGCACAACTTAGGATATATATTAGAATTATATATAGCATTGTTCTAACATAGCTATTTTGACAAAAAATCAGTCTTGTACTGAAATAACATACCAATATTTTCCCATATTTGGATTCTACGATTCAAATTATATGCCTAAATATTAAATTTTGTAAAATTTGGTGCAAAATGTATGGAGAAATTAAAAAATTTACCTGGGCACATTGTTTTCAGTTTGCGTAAAGAATTCAGTTTACCACTTGGCGAATTTTTTAATATATGGCAACCTATTTTTCCTTTCCCTTCCATTGTGCAGGAGTGAAAAAAGTCACATCATTCCTATCTCTTTACATTGTGCATGAGCGGAAAAAAGTCACACTTGTTCCCAATTTCAAATAATTTTAACAAAGTGTTTAAACTACATTTGATATTATTACCGTTTTAAAAAAATATGCCAAATTTCAAAACATGGCAATATATAAATTCACTTATATCTTTGGAAATCGAAATCGGCAAGTTTGTTAATCAAAAGTTTGCTAAAAAGTTACAAAATATGAAATTGATAATAGAACAAATTCCGAATTAGGGCTCCCCCCATGCCCATATTTGGTGGAAGATTAAGTTATTCAAAACTGGATGTCTCTAGGAACAGTTGTTTTTTCACAGTGCGAGAAACATACATACATTTATGCAGATTCTTCATTATTTAATTTCTTTAAGTATAAAACACGGCTCTAATATTTGGTGGCAACAATTTGAAAAGTGATTCGCCATTCATAGTGAATTGGCGCAAAATGCCAAAACGAAATTAATAGGCCTTCTAGGGTAAAAATAAATCATAAAAAATAGGTAAATTTTATTTGGAATGAACCTAAATTTTGAAATGTGAAAGGAAGAATCAAATAATTTTAATAAAAAAAAGAGATATTAATAAATATATTGAGGAGCTAAAATTTTGAGAGCTAATTTTTTAAAAACTAGTTGTGCGATTTTTACAAAATTTGGTAGTTTGGCATTATTTAAGTCGTAGAATTGAAATGGGAGGGATGTTATTTCAGAAAAAGTCTGATTTTGTGTAAATATACCCATATTAGAGCAATTGTTTCATAAGAATAAATTGAATTTAATTAAATAAATTTAATTTAAATACAAATTTAATTAAATGCTATAAATAAATCTAATACATATCCTAAGTCGTGCTTTTGAGACATGGAAAACACAAGTTAAATTTCGACAATTGTCCCAGTAAAACGGGAGCTACAGAACTGTCTTTTTTTTTTTTTTTTTTTTTTTACAAAGTGTACTTATAGTCATCTAAGCATAACTCCCTGTAAAATGAAATAGCTCGAAAAAATAGTAGACATTGATAAAAATCTTTTTACAAAACAAAGAAATGAAGCAAGTCGAATACTGACTTTTTATTCAATAAAGAGGTATTACTTTGTACAATTTTGACAGGACATCTACCAGCTTTCATGGTTCAATGGTAGACAACTTTGACAGTCAATGAGCTAGTGGTTTGGTTCATTTGATAATGGCAAAGCATATGGGGGCTATCTGTCTAAGTGGAGGGATGCCTTTGTGGAGATTTTTCTAAGGGAACTGTCTTGTATCCATGCTACATATAGGGAAAGCTACAAAAACATCTATGTGGCCAACCTGTTTGCCTGGAATCGAATCCAGGTCAAACTACCAGTGTTCACTTTACTACTCAGCCACTGGTGGACTGGGTCACTAGGATAATATGTCAGTAAAACTCTAATTATTCGAATAGCTTTTAGAATTTCAGAACTTTTCAGAATCAACTGAAGAAGAGAAGGAATAGGAGAAAAAGGGAAAAGAAGGTCAAGAAAAGGAAAAGACTGGAGAAGATAAAGATGATGTGTCACTTGAGGAATTATGAAACATTATTTTGAAAATTCCTGGATGTTCAGAAGTTAGTGCTGAGGGAAGTTAGTGCTGAGGATACAGCAGAATGTATGGTTCGTCAGACCTGGAGTTTCAAATTCTAAATGATAAAGAACTTATTGAAAGTGTTGAGGAAGAAGATGACCTTAATACGGAAGATGAAGCAGACATGGGATTATCATTAAGCATTTTCCGGCCTTGAAGTAGATGAAGTGTCAGCCCAAATGTGACCACATGCAACTTCTCATTGTCAAGCGGATGCACGGCTTGGCTGGCGCAAGTCATGAACTTTTAGCACTTGTAAATACCATACAGAATGCTACATAACATGTGCTGATAATGGATATAAAGGAAAATCTATAAAGCAAATTAATAAACAGTTACTAGATGGCGCGCAACAAAATGTAAAGACTTTAATTTTGCTATGAACTTTGGGCAAGTAGAAGAGGGGGATGGTTTGCAGTCAGAAGAGATGATAGACGTTCCGCTGTATTTTTAGTTTTTCTGTATATCTTAACACTGAATTATTATGAAATTAAAAGTTTTTTTTTCCTTCTTCATAAGATGTAGTATTCATTGAATATAGAAATCAAAAACAGGAATCGGCGAGCTCAGATCCGAGCAACACTTTGAAAGGAACAAAGGTAAGTGAAACCTTTTTCCTTGAATTTTAGAAAACTTAGAATTTATAGTAAAGAAAGTTTTCTAGGACATGTATGTAAAAGTGTTGCCTTTACATTTTAATTAATTAAAACCTTTTTTTCTTTAAAAATAGTTTTTTTTTTTCTCCCATTTCAAACATACAGTATATACAGCAATTAATTAAAGTGTATGTAGACCCTTTCTTCGGGAAAAATCCAATTATCTGTATTTTTGATTATCTGAGTCTGGTGCCAATTCATTCAGATAATTGCAGTTCTACTGTACCATCTGCATTCCCAATTTCAACATGCAGTAAAATTATTGTGTTTGTGTATTTTCAAGTGTACATGCTAAAATAACCAACCTATAAGAGGGAAAACAATTTACTTATGGTCAAGACTTCGGATACTGGAAATCCACATTTCAGACTTTGTACTGTATTACTTATAACAAAGATAAAAATATATTTAAGAAACAATATTTTAAATATTTTTTCAAAAAATATAGTCTAACAACATTTACCTTGTCCGCATCAATTTTGTCGACTATTTTACCCAACCGACGTTTGCTCTCTTCTGGAGAAAGATCATCAAATTTTTTTGCTTCATTTTCTCCAAGAAAAGCTTCATGGTCATACTCAGGATTATGAAGCTCCTCAGAATTATAATGATCTTCATCACTTAGGAACTGGAAATAAATAAAAGTCAATCATTTTAGAGAGAAAAAAAATTAAAAAGCATGTTTTCTACCTACTCAATAAGTTCCTAAAAACAAGGAACAGCAGGTATTTATCTAGTTACATATCAAATAACAGCAGATTCATATACATTCAAGCACCAACTCATCCTCTTTAAAGCAGCCACCTCTTTAATGTGCAACAGATTAATTTAAAACAGCCAAAGCAGTTAGTTTCAAAAACTGGTCGTAATAGTCACTTTAAAAGGAAGCCCAAATAAGAAGTAGTTTTACTGATTTTGTAGAACATTCATTATAACAATGCACTTTGTTTTCCTTAAAGAAAGGGCCTACTTTATGATTATTCACATCTCTCATGGAAGAGATAACTAATTTTTTGCCATGCACAAAAGGCAACAGGCAGTTTCAAAACGGCAGGGCACTAAGAATTCCATACAAGAGGCATTAACCTATAAAATTTAAAAAGCAACGTAATAAAACACTTAACTTGGAAAAAAAAAAAAAAAAAAAACTTCCTTTTCTGTGCTGTTATTCTTTCTATTTATGCAGTTATCACATTTCACGTAAAAGAACATCAGGGAATTGGACAAACTCTGCTCGATATAACTTCTTCATTGAACACAGGCAAAATACAGATGTGCTATATATGCATGCATACATGGGTTACCAGATAAACATTTTTTAGTGATATCGTGAGTTGCAGCATAACTATTTTAGCAACATACAGGTTTGCGTTCTGAATACTTCTTTTGTTGTTCCCGATTTAGTTGGTCCCAGTTTCAGTTCTCAAAAAATGGGCTCGTTGAATAGGACATTTATAATTTTCTATGTGTGTAAAGGAATACATGCTAGTTCTACATATACAGTCTTTCATAACGGTAGCTATCCTATGGAGACTATGGATCCAAAAAGAAGACAAACAGAAGTGAAATGTTATTTTTGCAGAAATCCCTCCTGAATGACATAAATGTATATTTAAATTCAAAGACTTTTAATTAAAATGTCATTGAATTTCAACTGAGAATTTGACAGACCTACTTATGTTTGGTTTTTTGGGAATGGAATCTAAAGAAACATAGACAAACATTGGCTGCTACTTACAGCACAATTTTCATATGACATCAACTAAACTTTCATCATGAAAGGTTTTTGGTTTGGTTTATTTAATTACGGCAAAGCCTCGAGGGCTATCTGCCTAAAGGGAGGGGTGCCTTCGTGGAGGACTTTCTAAGGGAAACTGGCTCGTATACACGTTACACATGGGGAAAACCACGAAAACACCCATGCAGCCAGCCCGTTCGCGGGATTCGAACCTCGGAGCGAACTACCAGTGTTCACCGCTCAGCCGCTGGTGGGCCCCCTCATGATGAAATAATTATTTTCACATTAAATGTAAAAAGCAATTAACTTATAAGCACACAAAACATGTACATCAAAGAACACTTAGTGATCTGAGAAGGGTATTTCCCGAGTCAAATTGGATTGGGAAACACGCCATGTATACCAACAGCCTGGTTCGTTACTCATCACTCGAGTCAATGCTTGTATTTAGAGATGAATTTTCCGCTCATACTTTCCTTGCATCTCAAATTTTTCATATATAGAAGTGCTCGTATCTTGAGGTTCAACAGTATAATTCTTCACAAGGGTCACAGCCTTCTTTGATCCCGTCAGCTCAATGATTTCCATGTCATTTTGTGTAAATAGTCTCTTTGGCCAATTCGTCCGCTGTCTTATTTCCAGTTAAACCTGCATGTGCTTTTACCCAATTCAAATTAACTTTATGCCTCTCTAGGAATTCAAAATAAAGTTCTCTATCTAATATCAGTTCACTTGTTTGGTCTGGGCAGGAGAATGCCTGTAAAGTTGATAAACTTCAGTATTATATACACTGATTATATTCCCGATTTTTAGGCATATTTGTATTCACTTTAAAGCATAGGAAATAGCACTTGCCTCTACCTGATATACTGAATTATATTAATTTATATTTCTCAATTATATATCTCAGCTACACAATAAAAAACTGCAAAGGTGATGTTCTCACCAACACTAGACCCACCAGTATACACATTATATTCACCGGTGTCTGTCGAAAGCATTGCAGCAAAAACCTCGCGGAGAAAACAATGCAAGGCGAAAACATCATGGTACAAAATAAAGCAAAGAGAAAACATTACAGTTCTAAAACATCGTGGTACAAAATATCGTGATAAAAAATAATACGTTTAAAAAACTTTGTGGTTTAAAAACATCATCGTCGAAAATATCGTGGTAAAAAATAAAGTCGATAAAGTCTTTACTACAAATCATCGCATGATGATAACATCGCACACATGATACTTTTGGTTTTAAAAGCTGTAAATGCATAATCACATAATGATTTGGGAGTGCAGGAAGGATAGAGGTATATTTTTATTTTCTATACAGTACAAAGTCCGAAATTCGGATTCGTCGGGACTTCGGCGAATCCAGATTTGGGATTTTTCCGGATATTAGATCATCAGTTTAAATCTAGTAAGATGGCATGTAGAAGTTATAAAATTAAAAATATGAAATCATGATTTATGAAATAATGAAGTATTTATGATCTAAAGGGTATCAAAATTTACCAAAAAAAAAAAAAAAAAAAAGGGCTTAATATTTATTTGTTTACCTTATTAAACATTTCTTTCAATATAAGTTGTTTAAGTTGCTTTGTTTTTTTGTGCTAATACTTTCTCTTTAATTCTGTAGACAGACATAATCTCTTGTTCAATTACATTGTTGAAGTCCTGTAACTGCTGTTTTGAGAATTCCGATTAACTTGTCAATTGAAATATTTTCGTTTTCAGTAACTTTCTTCACTATCATTAGAAGTATTTTCTGGATTTAGAACCATACGACAGATTTCGCCATTCATTAATTGATTGATGATTGAGAAGCATTGTTACCACAATGAAAAACTTCTCTTATATCATCTTTATTTATTACCTCTTCTCCACATTTCTTTACAAAATCCGTTAATTGGAAAATTTCTCCTCTGTTTTGCGTTATCCTAATTTAACAGTTAATTTGACAGTTAAGCCTGAATTGCATTAGTTTAGTTATTTATTATACTTATTTCTTGCACATGCTTAAGGCTTATCAGAGTTCTGAATAAATAAATTCCTACGTATACTTAAGCCTTATTGAGAGCTGGCAGTAAATATTTTACCGCCTGATGCAATCTATGTGGGTCCTAAATTCTGGTGCATCCATACAAGACCTGGTGCTGGTTTTGGGTTTATGTGAATAACAAATCAGTTATTCTTATTTCAAATAGCCCTAAATGTAATCTTTGGATCTATGAGTATTATCAACAAAATCTATTTTTAGCGTATGAAAAATTTTTGGTAAATTTTTCCTCATCAACATTTTTAGCGCATTTAACTTATCTGTAATCATCACCAAGTGTAATGTCAACATAAAAAGTTACCATAGTCCTTCATTAGTGAATTACTAACATAAAAAAAAATGTTTAGGCATCGCTACATGAGTCATTACTCAAGCTGTCATGTTTTGATAAACATGCGGTGATGAAAGGAAAGTACAATAAATAATTATTTTTCAGGCTGGCGTCATATCAACGATGTATCTATGTGGAATGTTTTGGTTCGAGATGTATGCCAAGTAGATACGCAGCAACAGAGACAAATTACTGATTGTACAAATTTATGCTAAAATGACTGCTTCTTCAATAACAAGGTATTTTATTAGTGTCGAAGTGAAATTAAGAATCGAAACTCTCTAGATGTTCTATATTGCACAGAGGGGGGGGGGAGGATCAATTGCGCATGTGTAAAGCCTACGAGAAAACTGTTATTGGTGGTTTTGAGGTCCGGATTTTAGATCATTCCGGATAATGGACGTCCAGATTTTGGACTTTGTACTATATTTCATATTTTTGAATGAACTATTAAATTTTTGTTGAAAAAGTAAGAAGGCAACTTAAGAATTTAAAAATTGAAAATGAGTAGAAAATTAATGCAACTTATAGCACTTAATAAAAATAAAAATTTACATAGTTATTTAACAAAGGTCATTAATAAAGTAATGTTTTTTTATAATGTTTTACTAATAATATTTCATGAAAAATATAGTCTAAAAATGTTCAGAATACGAAATATAAATAACAGCATGAAATTACCTCTAAAAAATTGCTTTGTTAATTATAAAATTATTTTCTTTCACATTTCTTAATCCGATTATTGTTTTAGTGAAAATTACATGTTGTTTCATTTCCGTTTATTCTTAAAGTGTCGTTAACATTTTCATGTATGGCGTGTAATCAATTATTTGGATGTCGATTTGTTAGTTATGAAGAAAGTAAGTTCCATAATATGTCAGTATGGAATCTGACTTTATTGGATTATGCCAAAATGCACTAGGGCTACCTGCCTAAGAGGAGGGATGCTTTCGTAGAGTACTTTCTCAGGAACTGGCCTATATTTACGTTATATGTTAAAATACCTTTGCTGAATGCCTGCCATCAAGCTGCACTTCTTGCCTGGGCAAGAGAATACAGAGAATAGAACTTGAAATGAATAGCAAGGAGTGATGAATCCTGATTCTAATAAATACCGATGAGAGGCTGAGAATATGATGTCAGACTCATAGAGGCATGAATCCTGTATGACAGACAAGGCCATGTTGGCTTAAACATGGTCTGGGATGTTTTCTCTAGGCAGTGTTTGGGATCTTTGGTACTTGTACCAACCTCTTTAAATATGATTCAGTACGTAGAGTTGCTGGGCGATGATCTCCATCCATTTATGTTATCCTGTCATTCACACGGAAATGGAGTATCCCAGCAAGATAACTACCTCTCACAGGTCCTAGTTGGCTACTGTCTGGCTGGATGAGCATTCTTCTAACTTCTCTGTCATAAATTGTCTACTTAAAAGCCGTGATTTAAATTCTACTGAGCATCTGTCGGACGTTTTGGAGAAAGCTTTGAAACCTCATCACAC